ATGCCTAGGCCATTGCGTTCCCCTTATACTCCAGGGCAAGTATTCTGAGGCGGACCCTCTGTACCTTCGAGCTATCGACATTGGGGAGAGGACATTGGGGCCCGACCACCCGGATTTTGCTGTATGGCTCGGCAACCGGACGTCGTTGTTAGAGAAACAGGTTAGAGGGCATGGCAATTTGTTTGGAATATTTTATCCATTGTAATGTTTTGTTGGAAGTTGAATTTCAGGCAGGATGTCCCTGTTCCGGCGAGATTTTGGTATGCAGCCTGGCTGAACTACGCACTTGCTGAAGCTCAGTGCTTGCCTGTTGTGCCGAGCGACCGAACCAGCGTCAGCCTTTGACTTGTTGCCATGTCGGGCATTCGGTTGTTTAGCAGAAACCACACGAATGAATATTGGAACCCACCGTAAACCGTCCACGACAGGGAAGGTACAGGGAAGCAATCCCACTCTTGGAGAGGATCGTTTCATCCCAGACGAAGAATCTGGGAGAAAATCATCACGACACGGTCGACGCTCGGAATAGACTGAAGCGTATTCAAAAGCACACGATGTCAATCGCCTACCTCAAGAACCTTCGAAAATGACGTAAGTTTTGTATATCCTCAAGGAGTTGATGACGTGGTCTGTCGTTTTCCTCTAGAACGGCGGTCCACAGTGTTGCTGGTAGCCATACACGGACCTTGATTTACAATTCCAAGTGTTGAGGGGCATTCTAGCTGAAATCGGGGCCCCGCGAAGTGGTGCCGCGTATCCTCGTTTCGCCATCACTGTCACCGCCAAAGGGCACGTTGGAGGCTGTTGGGAACATGATATGGAGGCGTTACTTTCAAGCGAAATCGACGTGACACTCAGCGTTCTGCACGCACAAATTTTCTCTGGGGTCACGTGACACGAAGACACATTTGCTCAACATGCAGAAGGGGATATCCGTGTTGCACTTTGTTCGTCATTTTCGTGTACGTAAGCGTCTGCGGATGACGGACTCCTGTGGCCCTTCCACGAAGTGTGACACGATCAGACCCATCCTTGTCTTTTGATAAGCTCGTTACGGAGGCTGCGTGTGATCTGTCGAGTCCACTCCTCTTCTTTCGAGTTGCACACAAGTGGACCTTCATTCAGTCAGTGTAGTTGTTGTTTTCATGACTTGAACACAGGGAGGATCCAGTGTCCGGCGGGTGAGCTCGACAGAGAGGATGGCGTCCCACTCTGCTTGTGATCGCGCGAGGCGATCGGAGAGCGCGAATGTGCACAAGAAGATGCAACACGTGAATTGTGGGTAGCCTAGATGTGACTCCTACATCTTGTTGTAGAGGAACTAGTCTAGTCTGCAGCAGTTGGGTTTGGCGGGGTGGAATATGTCGTCTCGTGTGTTCTGCGTGCAGCTTTCCACGCGTGCAGGCCATCTAGTTGCATATGGCAGCACTACCACATCGAGAACATCAAGTTCACGCCGCGACGTGGACTCTTGGTCCTATGTACGGGTGCGCTTCTACTCTGAAAACTATGGATGGATGTGTAGAGGTTTCCCCGCTGGGTCTTTTTCCGGGTGGGCGGCAATCTTCTCCGAGGTTATGCGGTTTCCTCCCTCCGCAACGCGAAGCAACGAGGCGAGAACACAATTTGAGGAAGGCAAAGAAAACAGAGAAAAGATATGAGTGTGTGGGCACATTGTCGTTACAGACCGCAACACTCCCTCACACCAAACACGGCCACATCCATTCACCAAACCCAAGTATCCTAGGTGCATCCCCCGCCTTGTACACTGAAGGTTCAGTGAGAATACCAACTGATACTGATCATAATACCCACCGGAACGCTATACTTCCCAGCGCATCTCTTCTGCAGCTCCCTGCTGGGTCAGCGACAACAATATGTCAAAATCCTGACGCCCACATATTGGGGAGAAACTTTCCTAAGGTTAACCACACAAGGGAGGGTGCATGGATTAACTCGTCACAGAGCGGGTGTCAGCTCGACCGCATATATTTTCACCGTAAATCTATCTATAATCTATCTGTTGTACTTGTAGTGCATCTCCTTTTCGAATCTCTCTAGGGGTTGGGGTTGTACCCACAACCAAGATCTCTCTGATCCCGTCCGTGGATACGACGAGTTCATTGCCTGGTAAGAGTGGGAGGAAACGAGGGGGAGTGAGGAAGAAATGGAGCACCAACACCTGTTTTCTGTGAAGGTTGGACACGATGGCCGTGTTTTTCAATATTGAACAACGTATACTCCTAAACAGCGTATGACGTGGGGAAGGGAACGGTACGCGCATCCCCCCCTTCGATGCCTGCTTGGGTGGTGGGTGGTCAGACCAGGATGATGTGGAGTGCTTCCTGAGTACTCGCTACATACCGGATAAGTCGCGCGACTTGGAGATGAGTCGCACGGCTCTGAAATGACGTATTGGCCCGACAAGGCCACCAGATGGCCGAAAATCCAAAAAGAATTGCAGTGGATAAAAATGCTTGGGTCACTACTAGAGTTAGTGTGGGAATCGGTTTTTTTCATTTGGGTTTCTAGACAAGCAGGACTGAGAGGGAATCGTTTGCAGAGCCAATACCGCTTCCGCGAAAAGCCCAGAACCTCAGCAGCAGCCCGCCGATACGGAACGTCTCAGGCTTTTTAGCACGGACGCAAGCGTTGCAGTGATTGGCATCACCCAGGATCGGGAATCCGTTACAGGACTGAGATGCCTACATAGCTAACGGTGCTCGCTACATGAATTGTTAGGCGCGAACACGCTATTCCAATGACGACATACCACGGTTTTGTCAAGAGCAACATAAACGGTTGTTGGCGGCCATCCTGTGTTTCTTGGCCACCCCAGGTCCCCTTCTGTACGCGCCAGAACCGGCACTCGGAGTCAATCTGGACGTGATTGTTGCCCTTCGTAAAAGATGGCCTGGACTCGATGGAGTACCTTTCCGTTAGCGTGCCCTTGTGTTGATGGCGAAGAAACGAACACGTGGTCACGAGGTATAAATGATTCGGACGTGGCGTTTTCTTGAGAACAATCGTTAGATCAAGCGTTACATTATTATTATTTATCGGACAATATAACTATTAGTCTAGACTATGTACATAGCCTATGCCATAATCTTGCAGCAACCGAATTGAGTTCGAAACACACCCGATGAGATTACCCTCGACCGTGTCAGAGTCCCGTGAGCGGGTTGGTTGAATTGAACGTCCACGACCCGAAGTAACAGGGACAAGCTGCTGTAGCTTCACCAAACGGATACAGATGAAGGTGTGCCTTCGTGGACACACTTCCATTTGTTTCCAGATCCATCCGAATATATTGGTAGAATGCGGCGGATCGATTTCGGTAAAAACCGTTGAACTACAATACACGAAGTTTTTCCGTCAGGCCTCGAGATCTCATCTGTTTCAACTGCCGTGGCTGTGAGCGTTTGCAGCTAAGTGTAGATATGCATGTAGATAGGTGCATTCGGCTCCCACACCGATATCTTTTTGCAGCATGCTGGACGCGTGACGTGTGCGGAGCCTTAGCGGCTGGGTCTTACGGCGTGATTATTTCGGAGATTTTTTTTTTTTCTTGGTCGGGGGGGGGGGTGGCCTGAACGGGAAAAATTATCACAAGATCCAAACGACCGTCTCACGGTTCCTCGAGGATATGTTTTTCTGAAGGGAAAGAAGAGGCTGACTCATGTTCTTATGAGTCACAACATACTTCAGAACACGGTTTTGGCTCGTGTGCGACCAACGAGACACCGAGCGCCCTGTTTATTGGTCGCCTGCAGAGGGCATGTGTATCATCGCACGCCAGTGGCTGCAGTTTGTGGATGTCGTCGGCCAAAGGCCTCTCTCTGATGGCATGCGTTGTACACTGATCACACTCGAGTCGGAGCAAGCGGCAGAAAAAAAGAGCAACGTCAAAAAAAGGCAACACCGAACCACACCTCCATTCACTTTTGTTTGCAGGCCGTGTGTGCAATCAAAACTGGACAATGCACTCTGTTTCTGGGACGTGAGCAGAGGGTATGTGTTTGACCACAAGCCACTGGCTGCAGTTTGTGGATGTCGACGGCTAAAGGCCTCCCTCTGGCATGCGTTTTGAACTGGTC